TTCGGCTCGGAGGTTTATTTGTCGTTGGTCCCTTTTTATGGGTTTATTTGAGCTAAAATTGTGTTTCATTTTATTCCATCTGTTGGATGTGATCTTGGCTGAAATTCTATTTCTGTTGTGCTTCTTGTTGGGCTTGGTTTACCTTTTATAGTTCCCTGTCTTACCCTTCTTGCTGGACTCGATTTACCTTTTACGGCTCCCTGTTTTGTTTTCCTTATTGGGTTCGGCTTGCTTAAGTTGTCACTCTGTTTGCCCCTTTTGTTGGGCCCGGCTGGGTTGGAGTTCTTCTAAATAACGTACCTCCTGGGATTGTCATTAATAATCAAGTTTGTCATCCCAAAATTTATGATTTCAATATCCATTTCTATATGGGAATGTTTGATATAAATGGATCAATTCGCCATCATGTCTGCTCAATAAAATGACTTCAATCTAAATAGTTTATGGGATTTTGTTCATTCACTCTCTTATGTATATCAAAGAAGTACAATGACAATATCTGTGGTGGCTTTCCTTTACTATCCCATAATCCCATAGTCGTGAGCATTACCTTGTGATTTCTTTATATGGCAAATTGGAGGGTGGTGGTGTTGGCTGCTGTCTTTGGCTGCGTTTGTTGTTCCTGGCCGTGAGCCTGTTTTTGGGGCTGGGCTGCTCTCTTTGTGGTCCCTCGCCGTGAGCTTGTTTTTGGGGTTGGGCTGCTCTCTTTGTGGTCCCTGATCGTGAGCTTGTTTTGAGGTGGGTTGTCCTTTTGATGTCCTTACCCTTGAGCAATAGTTGGTGGTGGTCTTCTTCTTGCTGCCTTGGCCGTGAGCTTCACCTTGTAGTAGTTGCCCTTGTGGTCTTCTTCTTGTTGCCTTGGTCGTGAGTTTCACCTTGTGATTTTTCTATGTGATAAGTTGGGTTGGTGGGTGCCCCACTTTGTTGCCCTTGGCCGTGAGCACTTATATGGTTTTGTTTGGATGATTTCGTGCTTATTTCGTGCTTATATAACATATAACATGGAAAGCTTTTGATTGGAGTTGGAATTAGATGACTTTATTGTTTTCAATATTTTGGGAATTTTGAAGGTGGTCGTTTGTGGATTACATTCTTCTATTCAATTTGTGAAATTTGAGAGGCTCTTAAAACTTCGTTTTTGGAGTTTTGGGAAAGCATGAAGTTGATAAAAATTGGATTCATGAAAGAATTTGAAAACTCATAAAATTGTCGTTTGGGAAGAGTTTGGAGGCTTGACATTAAAATTTGGATAACATAAATGCCACATTCAAATTTAGCCTTAAGTGTGTGAATATGTAGGCAGTGGTGGAGTTGTTTATACAATTATCACATTAATTTGGGCCCGTTTTGACCTGTTCAAAACAAGATTTGGAAGGGATACCCTTCTTGGGTTGATCCAGTTATAAAATTTAAGAAAATGATATTTTTTTTGGATTGATTTAAGGACCTTGAGCCCTCCTTTCAAATCTTTTCGTTACAAGTTTTGAGGGTTGATTCACCCTTCGTCTTTTCGATCTTTTGGATGGATCAGTTCCTCATCTCTCTCATCCTCATTTTTATTCTTTTTTTAATTGTGTCTTGGTTCAGTTTTCGGTGCTTATGTCTGATACATAATTTTTTTTAATTGTGTATTGGTTCAGTTTTCGGTGCTTATGTCTGATACATAAGTGTCCATATATAGTCTTTTGCTATATATGAAACCATCATGCAATGTCGCGAGTAGGTCGGTTTTGTTTTGGGGCTTAGGGCGATGATAACAAAGACACACCAGTGGTAGAGCAGAATGATATTCCATCCTACGACATCAGGACCCAATCCTGGGATCTGATAAACTGTAAGATGATAGTATCATTCACTAACACAAGACTAGCGGGGGACCCGTACCTTCTTAGGTTGTTGGCGATCCTACGCCCGACGACATAATTGACTCATTGACAACTATACTTTTCAAAATTGATAAGTACAAACATGATAGGAATAGATACAATATTTATAAAAATATTTTCACTACAAAATTGATACAACTTCCTTTTTGTATATCTGAAATTCATGTGCATGCTAAAATATAAATTTTAAATGTGTTACAACTTGGTTGTCTACTTGTTGATTACCGATACCGGGCTAAGGAATACCCTCCTAAGTTAGGTTTAGTAGGATACTCTTCCAGTTGAGTGGCGGGGGTTGAGTGACAAACTCTATACATCTGGGTGACCGATAGTAATCTTCGACGTCCCTTAAGTACAAATATATATTATTTGAGTCTAGCCCCGACCCGAGTGCTTGCGGTCCCCTCTTTTCGAATTTTTCGTATGGTTTATTGAAATTTTTGGGGAAAGAACTCGTGGTCCTTTTTTCAGGATCTTCCCGAGATTTTGAAAATTTTCTTATATCGATTTTTCTCGAGTTTTCCGTCGTGAGTCATTTGTCAATTTTTCTCGAGTTTTTCATTGTAGGTCATATGTCGAGTTCATCGAGTTCTCCAGGCAATGTTTTTTTTGTTTATACAGTGTATACTAGCTCGCTTAAAAGAGCCACAGACCTCCCAGATATACATGTTTGATTTACATTACAGCATTTTACTTCATAGCATACTGTACTGTTCTTTCTCTTCTATGTCGCACATTCTACTGTTCTTTTCTTGTTATACCGCATGCTTTATTGTTTTGTTACACACTATACCTTAGTGTAAGAAAAACTCAACAATAAATATGAAACCCGAATGTGCTATGACGAGGTGCTTGGAGCGAACACCGTGGGCAGCATGACGAAGACACTTAGAAGAGCAACGTCAAAATAAATTCATATCACTAATCACTTTCCTTAGTTTAAATAATCCATAGGATTTTGAGGTGTGAGGTGGTTTGCTTAGCGCGGCGTAAACCCTTATATTATCTTTAGGACTTTTGCACACCATAGGATTTTGAGGTGGTTTGCCTAGCGCGACGTAAACCCTTATATTATCTTTAGGACTTTTGCACAACACTGTTGTGCAAGAGTTGTGCAATTATAAGTCATAACACTTTTAGGATTCTGAGGTTACTGTCCGGTACGGTGTAAATCCTCATATCTTTTTAGGCTATCGCACGATCAAATATCGTGTGAATGTAATTCCTAAATCCTAAAAGAAAATGCAGGATTAAACATTGAATAATATTATTTCAAAGACATAAAGTCAATAATAGGATAGTTGGGACTGCGGTTTCCCCTGGATCTGTGATATCTCCTACTATTCATTCTTTGGATTCTCTAAAATAATTGTTCATATTTGAGTCGCTCCCGTTTGATTTTCCCGTATCCAATCTTGGAAAACTAAACTTTGAAATCTGGAAAGTAAAACCACTGATATTAATCGAGAGTCTTCTTAAGTGACCCCAATCATTTAAAATGTAATTAATTATAGAGGCTTGCCTTTATAGGGAACTTGAAATCCAGGAAAAATAAATCCTATCTAATCTTTATATTAGATAGAAGAACTTGTCGGCCATACATAGTAGGCCAGATAAGAGTTATAAACTTCTTAGTTTAAATAATTGAGCATACTATCAAGTGATAAATGATTGAGCCTATTGTCAAGTGATATGTTTATCCTTCGGGATAGTGTATTATTTGTAATATAGTGCTCATCCATCGAAACTATTCAATATGTGAGACTCGTTTGGTCTCATCTATTTTAAAATTAAAAAATTATTTTCAAAAATCATATTTACATCAAAACTATTTTCATATTTTACAAAAATCATCCCTTTCAAAAAAAAAAATAACGGTCGACACCCCCCCGGCCAGCTCTCTTCTCACGTACAAGCCCAACATGGCCACATCCCCGCTCGCACCAGCACGCTTGCAACATCGTTTCCTGGCTGATTGTAGAAAGATGGGGGATTCCTGTGCTTGAGAGAATAGCAGGTCGGATTGCCTGCCGATAATTGTTTATAATGGTGAATATTGTTGTTGTCGTCTCATCCCTCGACGCTGAAAGATGAAAGCTTTGATAATAGTTTCATTTGCATAGAGGTTTAAATTGAGGAGAAAGAGGGTTTTGTGTCTAACCAAACCCTCACGATACAGTCACAATTATAGCTAGCTGGGACGACAACAATGAGAACTCATTGTATGAAGATCTCTGAAACTCACATCTTTATACCAATAACCATTGAGAAAGGTAACCGTTGTCTTTCTCCATCTTCATCCCACCCGCCTTTGCTCACCTCAGCTACTCTAGATCCTATAAATCTATCTTCAAATTAGATTTACTAAATCTTGGACATAAGACAAAGAAGATGAAAAATGAGATTTATGGTGCATTTGGGGCGGCAGTGCGGTGTCGCATCTATATGACAAAACTGTAATTTTTTTGTGTTCTCAAAATGCTACTGCTAAAAACTTCATTTTCCTACCAAGCCTAGCTATCTACGGTAGTTGTTAGAAAGCTGCGGTCTTTTAAAAAAAAAATTATAATAACCACCGCAAATTTTTAAACAACTGCTTATTCAAACAACTACAGGTGCTCCAAACCGACCCTTAAGAACCCACATAATTTAAAGATAACATTTATGGCAGGATTTAAGTTAAATCTTGCTACCAAACAACCTCTATGAGAGAGCATTTCATCAATTTAGATGAATTTGTATTCAAAAGGGCAAAAAGACAACAACAAAAATCCAAAACCTAAAAGACTGGAACGATCAAGATTTTGGTAAAACTAAATTGATCAAACCAAAATTAGAAGGGAATATGTAAAAAAAAAACTAATTTGTGCCCCTCTTCGAAAAATTGAAACCCAAACCCAATCGATAGTTTACTAGTTCGATTTGATATGACAAAAAAAGGCATGAAACAAAGTATCAAACAATCAAATGAGTTAATAGCATGCTCTGCTTCATCTGCTTCCAATATAAATGAAATATAACATGGTCGTGTTCATTAAATATATATATATATATATATAAAGTTTACCCATGTAGCTTAAAGCGTATCTATATTTTTGAAACCAAAGGAATCACCTTGGTCTTAGAGAAGACAGCAGGAA